TGATTGGTCAAGATCGGTTTCCATAGTTTGTACCATATGGTTGGTTTCTATTTGAACCAACCTATATATATAATCCATATCACTAATACTGGGTTTTATACAGCAATTGAGATGAACTTTAAAACTATTCAATTTCAATTTTAAAAATTAAGTTATGTAATTCTAATGAATCAATCAAACAAATATGTTCAAATATCATTTAGTTTCATCAAGAATTCAATTTCTATAAAATGATGATTCAATCACCATAAATGATGATTCAATCACCATAAATATAATGGACCGTATTTTTAATTTTAAAATAAATAAAATACTCTAGATTTAGAAAAATGACATATTTAACCTTTTGAATTAAATAATAATAAAAAAAAATATCATTGATTGGTTGGAAAAGGGTTGTATTGGTTGTAAGAATAGGTTGGGTTGCATTTGATATATTCCATATATATATATATATATATATATACATATCGGGCCGGGCTGGGCCGGTGATCACCGTCCCCGCCCCTGTCCCCGTCCCCGTTAAAATCCCCGAATTCGTCCCCGATCCCCGTCCCGTCCCCGATAAAATATCCCCGAACCCGGCCCGAAAGTTTCGGTTTTCGGTTTTCGGTTTTCGCCGTCGGTTTCGGTTTTTTTTTGCCATCCCTAGTTATTAGTAGGTCTTTTTTTGATATTTTAAATAAGTGAGGTACAAATAACAACCCCTTTATAAACTTACTAAGGGGCTGTTTGTTTTTTTAATTTTTCACTTAATCTTCTCTTATGTCTGAATCGGTCAGACATAAGAACTTTCAGATCGTTTGGTTTTTTTTTTCAAATTAAGAGTTGAATTCGTTTATTTTTCTCTGAATTTTTAAGTGGTAATCCTAGCACTTAAAACCTCTTATTTCTATCGCCTCCTTACGTCGTTTGTCTCAGTTTACAAAAACAAACAGTCTTACTAATTCAGATTTCAGACTTCAGACGTAAAAACAAACAGTCTGATTGATTCAGATTTCAGACTTCAGCACCACCTCTTAAAATTCAGAAGTGAATTAAGACTTCAGACTTCAGCACCTCTTAAAAAACAAATGTCACATAAATGTTACAAACATAAAATAGTGATTGATGTATTATAATGTCATGTTCCAATGTACTAAGAAATTTCATTAAACCTCCAATTTTAATTTTGACATATCCGTACCTTTGGTATTAACAATTTTGCATTTGTTCATAACTTTTGAATCATATAATTATGCATAAGAAATTCACAACAAACTTGAAATCTGAAATCAAAACATGTCAAAAGAACAATATACATAAAAGCTTTTCGTCAAACAAAATCTCAATAATCATTTGGATGTTCTTTACTTTAAATATGTTTAAGTCTGTCTTAATCAATCATAAGTCGTTAATTGTCAAACGAATTAAAAACAAACATATTTTTGAAAAAATAAAACTCATTTTATGGTGAAAAAAATGAAAAGTGGGCAGAGCCCTGACGGTATGGCATTCCCCGCCCGATGGCTTCATTAAATGTAATACCGATACGACTGTCATCCCGATCAATGGGGAGACCGGATTCAGAGTGGTGTTTTGTGATGCCCAAGGAGAGCTTGTAGCCGCTCGATCCAAGCCTATTGCCGGATTGCCGGTTGTTTGTGAGTGTCAAGCTCTAGCACTCCTCGATGCTAATAGCATGGGCGATTGATTTGGGATTCACTCGGGACAATTTTGAGACAGATGTAAAAGTTGTGGTGATATTATATGTCGTATTCGGTCTATGCTTGATGATCAGGGGTCCGTTCCGATAAAGGGTGTTAGTAGACAAGTAAATGAGTTGCTCATTAATACAAGCTGGTTTCGTTAAAATAAATGGAAAGTGTCATGGTCGACCGTTTAAGTGCAAGTGTGCAACACTCTGACATGAATGTTGCAGTCCATATCCGTGGTTGGAATGTACGGATATCCCGGTGAAGGTTACCAAGCTGAAGCCACATCACATGAATGTAAAACAAGAAAACCAGCTAGCATCCTACTGCCTCTATCCGGCCTATTCAATTCCTCCCTTCCCCTCATTATTACGTGACCACGCCGCCACCGCCACCGCCATTTCCATTTTCTTCTATGGGAAAATCAGTCTTTGCCACCGATTACTATGGCCGACATGCATCCTTCCTTATATTACTTCCATCCAATCTCACTGCCTCCGATTTTGCAACCCTCTCCGTTATCGCCGTCGTTCTACTCCTCTCTCTCGTCTCCCTCTTCTGCATCTTTCACCTCCGCCGCAAATCCCGAGCTTCCCTTCACCTCCGGAGTTTCAACAGCCTCTGGGCCGTCCGTCTGCTCCTCGTTGTCTTCATCTCATGTTGGGCTGCTAACGAGATCCTCCGCCTCCCCTTCATACGCCAACGTTTCCTTTTCCCTTTCTTGTCATCCTTAACCTTCTCGAAACAAGACAATTTCTGCAAACTCCAAGTCGTGCTTTCTCTTGGTTTTCTCGAGCCTGGTTTTCTTGTTACTCTACTTTATCTGATCAACGTCTCCATCAAGCAGCGGAATCCGGCCAAAAAATGGTCTGTTCTCATTGTTATCGTAATGAGTCTACCACCGTTGATTCTGCAGATACTCTTCTTGTTCTTTACGCCATTGAAGGAGCAATTGCCAATGGTTATGACCCGAACTTCATTGTTTTCTGTCGACAGTTTCGGGAACAATAGGATGATTTGCACGTTCCCATTACTAAGCAGTATCTCGTTTTGTGTCTTTGCAATCATATACTCGATGGGGTTGTTGGTATCTTGTTGGAAGGTGGTTTCCATGGTGATCAATAAAACCATTAGGGTAAGAATTAACATGCTTGGCCTGACGGTGATGATGGCACTCTTGATTCAGACGTTGTTTCTAGGGGCGGAGTCGTTATGGATGCGGGAAGATATTGGTTTTGATGGGGTTTCATTGGGGTTGATTGTGAGCGTGGCGGTTTCTGCTGCCGTTGGGGAGATTGTTTTGGTGATTAAGCCCATTATGGAAGCACTGGAAACAGGAAGCCATTGCTCCGGCCAGTTGAATCCTTGGTTACAGCAAGCGGCAGAGGGCGGAGGTGGGTGGCCGTGGGCGGCAAAGAGACCATTACCAACCGGTTGAAGGCCATTGTGGTTCTTTTTCTAGCTAGTTTTCCTGTTAGTTGGAATCAGTTTTTATACAGAAGGGATATAGATCGAGACTAATTGGTCAAATTAAGCCCTCTAGAATCTGTGAATTTATCATAAACATTGTTTGTAATGTGACAATCCTGATGATACAAATAAATCTTTAATCTGGAAAAAAAATAAACTGACCCTTCCTTTACAATTTTAATAAACACCAGTTCACAATAAATCAATTTTGACAACCACAAATGTCATCAGTCTCGTCTCATCGACATCGCCCTATCTTTTTTCGGTTCGGTTTTCCCCATTGCTGCCCTTTTTGTTTATGCGTCCGAAACAAATTATGAATAAACAAACAAGAATAACAACCTATCTTTCTTAATGATGCCTTGTGTTGGAGCTACGAATCGTCAAACCATGCAAAAGCTTGGCATATCCAAGAAAGTTGAGTTTCCCATCCGTACCTCTTATCCAATCCTTCAGTATCGAGTGCGCTGATGGCCCCACGTTCATTTCCTGCATCCGTGTTTTATGATACTTAAAATTCATCAAACCAAACAAACCCAGTATATTTCACTCGAAGATAAGGTCTATGGATTAAATGTACACAGACCTCGCCTACAGACTCGGCATATCCCACCCGTAGGTAGAGTCTCTGGGTATGTAAGCAAACTTTACCTAGAAAGTCGGTATACCCACCTGGAGGTAGGGTTTTTGGGTAAGATGTATGCGTCATTATCTCTGACTCCGAGAGACAGGGATTGATTTCAAGGAAACACCCAAAAACTAGGTTGAAAGAAAAAACAAACAAGCACCTGTGCTAATGCATCTACTGAAATAACTCGGTTTCCTTCTAGTTCAAAATATTCGAAAGCTGTACTGGCAATTGTTTCCCATCCTTCAAGAGCCTCGAGTTGATGTGGACTAATTGCGGCAGCACAGAACTCCTCAAACGTCAATCGAGTATAAGATAGAGGCTTCATCTTCAACCATAAGAAACCAATGAGTGTTACATGCAAACATGTGAATCTAGACTTACAACATCAAGAAATCTTTCTTACTGTATCCAAGATATCAAGGACCCTTGATTCTTTCATGGCAGCAGTTGAATTTTTCACCAGAGCCTGCACATTTCGTCTATGTGAGGTATGAAAGTTTCGTGCGCTAAAACAGACGAAAAAGAACAAAAAGTATGACCACCATCAAGAATATGTACTAACCGTTCTAAAATTGTCTAGAGAAACACACCCATCTTTTGGTTCCAAGAGATCAAACTGAGCCCGTAAGTAAACAAGCTCATCTTCAGTCAAAGCTTTTGAAAGAGCCTTCCAACATCAAGAAACAAGCATACAATTATACCATAAAGTCTAACATCAACCATAGAATAGAAACATTCGCCTTGTCCCCAAGGCCGTGTTTGGCTACCATAAGCAAGCTTTCTTTTCAGCTTATTGCAAAACCCCCGTTTGGTTAGCCATAAGCTAACTTTTTGAAAAGCCACTTCAATAAGCTCCTGGGCTTTTTTCCATTTTTTTTTCCAATTATGTACCTCATATTTTTAGAATTAATTTTTCAACATGTCATTTCAGGTTGATTTACATTGTCATCAAGCTTACTTGCAAGCTACCAAACTTGACCAGTAGAAAACAGCTAGCTTTTCAGCCAACAACTAGCTTATCTACTAGTTTGCCAAATATAGCCTAAAACAAGAAAATCTATTGGTAGATAGAAGATACCTTGAGTGCTGCACGCTTTAAAGGGGAGGCTCGAAGATAAGACTTGACTAATTTGTAGATCAGAATGTCTAAAGGCACAGCTCGGTTTTCATCTAATAGCCACGGGTGCGCTGCAGGTAGTCATTTACCAGTTCTTGGAACGTTACAACACCTGATAGGAGCCGCTACTAAATGTTTTAAGGAAACAAAATATAAATAACAAACATCTTACTCAAGGCTTGGGAGGCGGTCATTCGTTTCCTATGATCCTTGTTAAGAAGTCTTTTGACAAAATCTTTGGCTTCTGGAGATATTGAAGGCCAAGGTGAGTCATTAAGATTAGGATCAGCCCTCAGCACAGAACGGAAGATTCCAGATTCTGTTCGAGCAAAGAACGGTCTGCTTCCACATAATAGTATATATGTTATAACACCGATACTCCAAATGTCAGCCTCCACGTTGTATGATCTGTGGAGTACTTCTGGTGCAACATAGTATGCACTGCCAACAATATCATTCAGCCGTTGGTCTGCAGATGCACATGAAAGTATCTTTTAATTTATGATCAACAGAAAGAATGCTTTCAGGTTTTTATTTATCACAGTAATAGATGAAGCATTTTGATCGCATTTTGGATTTTTTTTCTTTTCTGCATCTTTCTTAAATAATTTTCTTAATGAAAAAAAAAAAAAAAAAAACTAAGAGGTGATATTGGAATGGGTTAACAAAAAGTGATGAGCATTGGAAACTTGATAAACAAATGCATCAACATTAGATTTCCAGTTAGCTGCAAGTTTTCTGAGGCAAGTTAACAGGCTAGGAAAGAAGGGAAGAACTTATGTAAGAACTGGAACTTGCCTGGTCTTGCAAAATCGGATAAACCGAAATCTATAACCTTCAATGGAGAATCTTCATTTTTTGTGCTGAAAAGAAAGTTCTGCCCGAAAATCAGATCGTTGCATTAATATCTATGTTAGCACGAGAAATAGAGATATCAATCAATCGAAACAAATCTGAACTGATACGTACCTCTGGCTTTAAATCACGGTGCACAACACCCTGAAGATGACAAAAGGAAGCTACACTCAAAATTTGGACAATGATGGATTTAGCATCATTTTCTGTGTATCTTCCACCTCTGCAATAAAAGAATGGTAATAACATCATCAAAAACTAAGAAAAACAAATAGCATCTGCAGCAAGACAGCCAAATCAGGCCGTTGCATTAATATCTATCTGCATTTCATCATCACCTGGATAAAATGCGGTCCAAAAGTTCTCCCCCTTCACACAGTCTGTCAAAAAATGTAAATGTGTTGATATCAGAAGACAAAACCAACCAGTAACCACATGATCACAAAAGAAGTTGACCAAGAGTGAAAAGGCCCACTACACGACCAGTTGAATCAAGTACACTCGTAGGAAAAGTGAAGAAAACTGAAGATAGCACATAGGAGAACCCAAAGATGAGAGACATTCCCTAAATACATTTGCAAGTAATAGAATTTATACTAGCAATGAAAATAAACATATCATATATATTTAAAGCTAAAGAAGGAAGTTCCTAGTTGAAAGATAACCAAACCAAACAAGCCCAGTATATCCCACTTGGCGGTTGGGTCGAGAGGGGGGGGAGGGGCGAAGATGTAAACAGACCTGACTTCTACCCTAAAGAGAAGAAGAATTGTTTCCGTAAAGACCCTCAGGTAATGAGAAGTGTGTGAAAGGGAGAAAGACAGATATGCTAAAACTCGATGGTTGAGAACAAGATGAGATGAAGATACGTACTCCATGACTATGTATACATTCTGATCATCTTCAAATGCATCATGGAACTGGACCATGTGCTGATGTCCACATAAGCCCTTCAATAACTTCACCTCCCTCCGTACATCTTCAATTGATATAGCTGTTGTCATCTGCCAAAACAAAAGCCATCTGTTATCAACGATACTGCTAGAATCATATTTTGACGAGCCGTGGAAACAAATAAATTTTGCATTCCTAATATGTACTTTGGTAACAAATGACAGCATAATGATCTATGTCATCAATAGCAAGAAACGCTAAAGTTCAGATCTTTGATATCTGAATCTAGAAACAACTGCATGAGTTCATTTACGCTGAAATTTGTGTATCTTCCTTGTGTAGACGACTACTAAAAAGGCGATAAAGTCAGTCTCCAAATGCTAGATGATCAAGAACAACCCACGAGGCCACGAGGAGGCCAGTGAAGTGATAGCATTTTCACATGCTAAAGCTATCGTGAACGAGTAATTAGGCAGATAAGAAGCGCAAATTCCACTTGAACTTTTCAAGCAATTCATCCCGTCGAATGTTTTCTTTCTTCTGTAATTAGATTTAACTAGCTTGGCATGAAAGGTTTATTGTTTTAGAGTCTGATTTAAACCACCAGATGACTCACTGTTTTCCATTACTTGAACAATATCAATTTAGGACATACGACTGCTCCAAATTCTGATAAGAGCATTATGATTGATGACATTAGGTGGGGAATGAAAATAAGTAGGGAAGGAGGTATAATAACGATGACACCAGGAATTGTAGAAACAACTTTCTTACGAAGGTACCAAACCACACGACCCAGTATATCCCACATCGTGGGATCCAGGAAAGGTAAGATGCACGCAGACCTGACCTCTACCGCAAATAGTAGAGCGGCTGTTTCATGAGCACCTCTGGCTTGTGAAAAGTGTGGGAAAGAGATGCATTCCCAACCATAGTAGCCAAAGAAAATCTATTTGCTGAACAAGGCTTGAATTTCAATCAACGAGATATATAGGATCAAATTTTAACACGTTTGTTGCAACTACTTGATAATGGCTACATTTACCCTACATTTAGCCTACAAAGACTGTAATCAGCCTCTACATGAAACCATGAGCCAAGAAACATCATGTTATTAGCAGAGCAGTCTGTTACCAGTGCAAAATAAATGCATCATCTTACAGTTATCCAAAATCGAGTGGATCAAATAATTCCAAAGCATGATCATGCTACTAACCTTCGAATTTTGCCTGGATGATAATAGGCATCATTTATGTTACAAAATATCATTTCAAGTTACTTCCTTGATACCATTTTTGTACACGATGAGTGCCATTGAGGGCCAATGTCATACAGGTTCATAACTCTAGATAACAACTCAAAATTTTCTCTTTCTCCCTATCATCGCCATGCATATGGATTCAACGACTGAATTTCTCATAAGTACTCGAGATATAAGTTCCAAAAACAACATCCTATAAACCTCCGATTCTGTGATCTTTTACATCAGAAAACAAAGATAGAATTTTTTTTTATAACAAGAACTTGTATATAAAATGCTACTATTATGTTAGTACTGTAATTAAGCAAAAATTTGCCCTAAGTGCAATTCTGCGTCAATTAGATCAACTTTCAACAGTTCATCACTACTCATCATCCATCTAATTCCAGAAATAAGTTCAATTTACTCAAATTGAGTGAAGAACTAAAAAGGGTATGAAGTAAGGCACCTTAGCTTTGGAAATGATTTTGACAGCAACAGGCTGATTCTTGAGAGCTCCCTTTTTGCCCTTGGCCCAACAAGTATGACCAAAATGCCCTCTTCCGACCTCCTTCCCCAACTCATACTTTGACCCAAAGTTCCTCTGGTACCCAAAACTCTTATCCAGCGCTCTCTCTCCATCTCCCCCTTCATCTTCCGGTATGGTCCCCGTTCCCGTTCCCGTCGGCGTCGTGTTTCCCTTTCCTTTTCCCTTACCCTGCCGTGTCAGAATCGCCGACATGATCGGCTTCGCCGGAGACGGAGGTGGGAACGGCCACTTGAACATCCTCCTCGGTGTCCTCGCTGGTGATGGCGTCGGAGGCACTCCCGCTGGATACGTACTCTGCCATGGACTTCCGGTGAAGGAATGAGTCGGAGTATTGCTACTTGACCTCCCGTTTGTTCCGTTAGCAACAACAGCAGACGGTCTGGGACTGCGTGGTCGGTTAGGGACGGTGGATCCGGCGTTATTGTCATCTTTGACGACCGAGTCTACGACGGCGTCTTTGCTACAGCAATGCCCCATCAAGGGCTACGATTTAGTCAGTCCGGTGGCAAGATCGTTTTCAAAAGTCCACTGGTAGGTTTGTTACGACAATTTCATAGTCATCACCAAACGCAGATTGGTGACCATTAAATACTTGGATTGGAGTGTTTTATATGTAGACGTAGATGATTACAAGAAATATACAGAAATTCAAATGGGTTTGATTGCGGATTAACAGTAAGTAAGCAGTCAAGATTCATAAAGCCGTAAACTTTGAACAAGCAAACGTTACCACCATCTTGCAACAACTCAAATCCCCACCGTCCGATCATAATTATTCATTTCTGGATCAACCCTTTATTATGTCATCTACTTTTTGCTTTTTCAACATAAATATCAACCCAACAATTATTATTAATAAATAAATACACAAATTAATAAATCAACTCTTTGCAATTTCTTAAGAAAAACGTTCTTCTTTTAACACACAATTTTTTAGAGTTGAAAATACAAGGACCACGAATGTTATTTTTATTTATGTACTTAGGTTGCATACGAGTTGGATCTGTATGTTATAGATTTACACGACTCCTTGTGAACTATGTTATACGTTTTCACCTCATATGTAGTTCGTATCTTAAAGATTTGAAAACCAAACAAATAACGATATCGAATGAAATAATCTAAACCATACAATTAAAGTCAAGTTTATTGATGTCACTGTAAATGGAAGACTATTAATTGGGAGCCAACAAAAACCCAAACAAACTTGAGAAATCATAAATCAATGCATAGAACTGAACAAATAAGGTTGAACCAAACGCAAGCAATTTAGTGTGATCATCTTTAGCCAAAACCAGATAACAAAAGATTAAGACACTATTGTCTCCCATCATTAATGTTGTCGAATAACCAATAAACTGGACTTGATAACATTATCATCTAAGGCAAAACAAGCAGGTGACATAAAACTAAGGCACCGTCATCTACCATTATTTTTGTTGTCGTATAAACCAATAAATCGAAACTGATGACACTACCATCTAAGACAAAGAGATGATATTACACCTAGATTATTTATATTTATATTTATAATAAATAAGTAACTTGGGTGACATGTGTCATCTTCTGGTGAGTCGGTTTTTTTGTTTTCCCGCCTAAACACGTATCTAGACACAATTTACACTAGTGGTTCAATTAAATGCATTTGAATGTATCTAGACACAATTTATATTAACAGTTCAATTATACTCATTTGATTGACATATGTCATCTTATTCACAATCTCACTAATTTAGGATGCAATTGATTTTATTCTTGGGTTAATTAATTCGTGTGGTAACCGATTCCCCAAAAAAAATGGTATTTACTTCTAAGTTTAAATTCAATTTATTGATGTAGTTTCATTTCTAAATTCAATTTTATTCTAGAGTTAACTTCATTTTATTCTAAATTCAATTTATTGAATTTTTTTTACTTCAAAGTTATTCCAAGAGAACAAGACTGAAGTCATTCTTCAGAGTTAGCTCACTCGAACTCTGAAGTTTGCTTTTTCGGACATAGCTCACCTGAACTCTAGAGTCTAAACTCTGAAGTCTTCTTCTTCATACTTAGAAGTTTGAACCCTGAAGTCTTTTTTTAGACTTAGAAAAAGAAGTTTGAAGTCTTCTTTATCAGACTTAGAAGTCTGAAATCTGAAGTCTCCTACAATTCCGAAGAGTACAAGTCTGAAGAGTCATTCTTCAGAGTTAGCTCACCCGAATTCCGAAGTCTTCTTTTTCAAACTTACCTCACTGGAACTTTGAATTCTGAACTCTAAAGACTTTTTTTTTTCATACCTAGAAATCTGGACTCTGATTTAATAGGTTTGATTTTATACTTCACAGTTATTTCAAAAGTATAAGTCTGAAGAGTCATTCTTCAGAGTTTTATTTCAGAGTTATTTCCAGAGTACAAATCTGAAGAATCATTCTTTAGAGTTACCTCACCTGAACTCTGTAGTATTTTTTTTCCAGATGGAGCACCATGCAGAGCATCTGCATAGTGCATGCAGAGCTTCTGGCTTGCCTATACAGAGCTCTGAAGTTTGAAGAGTTTTAATTTAGAGTAATTTCAAGAGTACAAGTCTTTTAATAAACTTATCTAGACTTTGAAGATAAGTTTTTAAGACTTAGACTTAGTCTTGTAAGCCAGATCCCCTCTGGTTGGTCTGGTTTCTGGATGGCTTTGTTTCTGGTTGTTTATTTGAACCTTGAAAAATATTCCAATCCGTCATAAAGGAACCAGAGGGGCTCTGGTTGATTTTCATGTTTAACCAGAGGGTCTCTGTTTGTTAATGAAACTCAAATTATTTAAGTATTTAATATTTTTTTTGACCCAGAGGCTCTGGTTGACCAGAGGGCCTTTGGTTGACCTTACTTTTGGTTGGTGAGCCCACAGGGGTTCTGGTTGGTCTTGCTTTGTATGATGCAAACTTTACCATGGGGTCTTTTTAAAAGATATTGGGTATTTGAATAACTCTGAACTCAAGATCTTCAGACCTCGTCTTCAGATTTGACATAGACGCTCTTCTAAATTTAAATTCAATTTACTGATATAGTTTCATTTCTAAATTCAATTTATTCTAGGGTTAACTTCATTTTAACTAACTATTGATATAGTTTCATTTCTAAATTCAAGTCTGAAGAGTCATTCTTCAGAGTTATTCTTAAGAGTTATACTTCAAGGTTATTTCAATAGTACAAGTCTGAAGTCATTCTTTAGAGTTATTCTTTAGAGTTATACTTCAGAGTTGTTTCAAGAGTTTAAGTCTTAAGACTCATTTTAAAGAGTTAGCTCACCAGAACTTTGAAGTCTGCTTTTTTCAGACTTAGCTTACCCGAACTCTGGAGTCTGAGCTCTGAAGTCTTCTTTTTCAGATTTACAAGTCTGAATCCTGGATTCTTTTTTTTAGACTTAGAAAAAGAAGTCTAAAGTCTTCTTTTTCAGACTTAGAAGTCTGAATTCTGAAGTCTTCTACAAGTCTGAAGAGTCATTCTTCAGAGTTACCTCACTTGAATTCCAAAGTCTTCTTTTTTAGACTTAGCTCACCTGAAATCTGAAGTTTTTTTTTCAAACTTAAAGTCTGAACTCTGATTTAATGGTACTGATTTTATACTTCAGAGTTATTTCAAGAGTACAAGTCTGAAGAGTCATTCTTTAGAGTTTTACTTCAGAATTATTTCCAGAGTACAAGTATGAAGAGTCATTCTTCAGAGTTAGCTCACCCAAACTCTAAAGTCTTCTTTTCCAGACGGATCACCATGTAGATCATTTGCATAGCACCATGCAAATCCTCTACATTGAACCATGTAGTGCCTCTGCATAGTGCATGCATAACTTCTGGTTTGCCTATACAAAGCTCTAAAGTCTGAAGAGTTTTACTTCATAGTTATTTCAAGCGTACAAGTCTGAAGAGTCATTCTAAATTTACTTATAAGTTTAAATTCAATTTACTGATATAGTTTCATTTCAAAATTTAATTTTATTCTAGGGTTACCTTTATTTTAACTAATTATTGATATAGTTTCATTTTTAAATTCAAGTATGAAGAGTCATTTTTTAGAGTTATTCTTCAGAGTTATACTTCAAAGTTATTTCAAGAGTACAAATATGAAGTAACATCGTACTTTTGTTGATCATTCATAACTGTAAGATAGGTTCCTGATATGCTTTAATTTTTTCAAATTACCCCGTGTAATACACGGGATTGAATCTAGTATATATATATATATATATATATATATATATATATAGAGAGAGAGAGAGAGAGAGAGATGTAAACCTTAAAATTCTGCTCTTAAATTTGGGAGGAAAAGAACATAACGAAAGTGAGAGAAAATACTAGAAAGGAAAACAAAAGAAAGAATTAATGAAAAGAAAGGGAAGAAATGTAAATGAACAATCTTTTATCTTCTTAAACCGGAGAGAAAGAAAAGGAGATGTGTCATTTTTATAGATATACCATTTATATATGTGTCACGTGTAACACCCGTAATTCTTCATGTTCTCTTTTCAAGATAGAATTTTTTGGATTTTATTGGTTTTCACGTAATGGCAAGTTATTGGTGGTTTAATATTTCAATTAAGACCCTATGTCCATTTGGTGATTTTAGGACCAAATCTTAGTGGAATTTTGGGGTTTCAATGCCTCTAACGACTTTCCACGTGGCTAAAGCCGCGGGAAAGGTCGCATATCCCACTGTTTGTTCCACCCTTTTATGTAGCTCAAGAAAATGCACTCGGTGGCTAGGGACACATTCGAGGCACCTTATGGCGCATGTAAAGGTGCCTGGCTTGGTGAGGCGTGGGCAGAAATTCACCCTAGTGGAAGGGACATGAGGAGAAAGGGATCGAGCGATCTTGGGACCAGAAGACCTAAGCCGCCCGACAGGAAGCTCGTGCTTTTATTTGTTTATACATGTTCTAGCCGAGTTTTTCTCACTTGCAACCTCCCTCCTTCTTCTTTATTCTCCGCACCCCCCTTCTCCTCAAGTTCGATTTTAGTAACCTTGGGACTAAAATTAGAAGCTTGAGGACCATCTTTGGAAAAAATCTAACCAAGATTTTGTGTTGGGATCTTCATGTTCTTAAAAAGGTAAGATTTTGGGAGTTTTGCATTATATCTAGGGTTTTGTTATAAATATGATTTTGAGAGTTACTCTTGGTATATTTTAGGTCGCTTTATGACCAAGATATAGTATCTTGTGATGGATGTTTGTGGCTCTAAAGTCTTCATAATGGAAGCTCAAGATTGGGGTGAACCTAGATTTAACTTAAATCTAGCAAAGTGAATTCAAGTTACTTTATAGAAAACTATGTACATGCCAAAATGTGCATTTTGAAGTATTTGTGTGTTTTACTTGATATTTATCGAATGTGATTAGTATTTGATGAAGTTTTCATATTTGGTAAGTTTGGGCTAACAAATCGTGTGAAATAATTGTATTTGGGGTTTTGGGTATTTTATTAAATAAAATTCAAGAATGTATACCTTTGGTGATTTATTGTACAAAAGGAGATTTTTTAAATTAATGCATTTTGGTATATTTGGTTTTATAAACCGTTTGGAGATTGCATGTTATTGTCATGAGACATTTTAGAAGTATAAGATTATAATTTCATTTGGAAAATGGTTTGTCTCTACAATGAGGGGTTTTTTAGTCAATCATGTCTTTGGAATATA